GCTTTTTTATTTCGCCCAACCATCTCGTGCATACCATTAGCCGCCGAACGTTAACAGACCCGGACGACCTCTAGCTTCGTCGGTAATTACCGGATCATAGCCGAAAAGCTTCGAGACCGGGCCAAGAAGAGAGGAAGAAGAGGAGAGAGAAAGAGGAATGAGAACATTGGCGGATCGCGGATGATCCTTGCTCTCTTTCATCGTCGTGGGAACGCGGGTCACGCTAATGCGAGTGCTCCCTTGAGACTTTTTTGCCCTATTTGCCGTTTCTGAGCGTCCTCGTACCCGTTGATTGCGTCGTTCGAGGTAAACCGAGATTTGATGCGCGCACCCCAACCGCGGAAGGGTGTCGGATTTATGGCTGTGTTTCGCGCCTTCGAATTTGACTACGAGAGAATCAGTTTTCGCGTTTGGTGCCGGTGCTGTGGGCGGCGAATATATATTCCGTATTTTCTCTGTTACTCTTTTGACGAAAATTTCAGTTTAAGAAGAAAATTCAGATTCCAGATAGAGACAACGATATTGAATAATAAATAGAAAAGAATAACTAGTTTTTTAATTTGAATAAATCGAAGGGTGAAAGTTAGAGCTTTTTAAATCGAAAATTCTTCAAGTTCTTCGTAATCTGTTGTAACGAAGTTCGACCGACCTAATCTAATGGACTATGTCATTTAGTTAATTAAATCAAAGAAGAAGAGCAACGGGATCGTTAATGTCACTGTACTTCTCTCTTGATCTCCAATTCAAAGCTCTCGGCGAACGTTCTCGCGACAGGCAGCCAGGGAATCTCGTTTTGCGGCAACGAACGATCCTCTCTCTGCCTCTTTCTGCGTGGTTCCTTCAAGCAACAAAAAGTGATTAATTACGCTTCTTAGGCTCGCGACCGGTGGCTCGTTGTTTCCCGAAGCTGTTCGTTGAGCATCGTTTCAGCAACAATGTGGGCCCGCTCCTCTCCTCTCCGCGCTACGTAACTCTCTCGGCCTCATCCTCTCGTCCGTGATCCTCTCGACCGAGGAGAATCGATCCTGCCCTCGGCATTGTGTCCCTTTTTGTCCGGCCACGCCGCGAGATATTGCCTGGCCGAACTTTACGTCGACTCGTGACCCCTCCCTCTTTCCTTTTCTCTCTTTTCTCTCGTTCGGCCGGTGTTCTCGTCGTTTATTTGCCCGGTGCAATGAAACCTTAACGATGTTCGAATTCCCATGGAATCGTCCCGTTCGACGATTCCACCACTTCTGGCCTCGCCGTCTTCTCCCCACCTTACGATTTTCACGTTACTATGAATCGATCATTAAAGTTGAAAAAAAAAAAAAATCTATAGCGATCCAGTAGCACTTGCTTTTCATTAGAAATGTTTTTTATTGCAAAAATTCATTTTGTAAAAATGAATTGGTCAATATATTTGTGACAAAAGCAACTCAGATGTGAGAGCAATCTTCTGCCAATGATAGAATTGCTCGACGGTGGAAAAATTATATAAGCGTGTGTGTCGAATGAAATAATTAATACATGTGTGACACTCAATGAAGATATTTCGGTCAATGAGTCAATGGGGTTCTTCGTAACGCAGACAAGTCGACCAACCAACCCTCTGTGCAAACTCATAATTAGACCCCGGGGGCTGCTTCTGACACGTTCATTCCCCATTTCTTCGCCCTATATATATATATATATATATACGTATATAAACGCCGATCGGACGGCGAGTCGCGTGTTTCGTGCACCACTACCTTCTCCATTACTCGCAGGAGGAAGTGAACAATCGATTACGCGCGTGTTCGAGATTCGTCGAAAAATTTGAAAAATTCTGCAATGCACGGAGTAAAAACAATTACAGAGAACGAAAGATCAATACGATTCAGACACAGAGCGAGGAACAGAGAGTGAAAAATTAATTCGGCAAAATGATAGAAGAGGAAATAAATAACAATGATTGAAAAAGAGAGTCGACTTGCGAATAAAATCTTCTTCCATTAAAATTCCATAGAATTTCGAAGCAGTCTACGATCGTTAACTTTTCTCGAAAAGAATGTCCCGCGTGACATTGGAGACGGAGAATCCCGATTTCTTCAGTCGTTTGCCACTTTTATCGTCGGTGTCGGCAACCCCGCCGTGGACAATAACGTTACTATCGGCTGTTCGAGGAAGGCGTTCACCACGGATTAATTCGAAAGTAGACTGTCCTCCCGCGCAGCGCGAAAACGCCACGAGCATCGGCAAGTAATATAAACGGGGGAATATTTACGATTCACCGTATTTTATATTCCGCCGGCTGCGAGCGCGAATCTTGGTAAACGTTCGGCCACACGTAATTGCGTAGTTCTCACCGGCGTGGCGTTGCACGAATAAACCCTTTGCTTTAAGAATCGGCCGGCTCGATAACGAGCATTAAGCTTACCACTTTTCATCGGCGAGAGCGACGTGACATCAAAATATCCAGGTAGCGTGGTAGCGTGCGAATACCTGTTACTTGTAATTCGCGTTTCTCGGCCGCGGAATTCCTCGCTCGTCGTCCATTCCGGAGTAGGTATCAAGTATCACGATCGCGATCCTCCGTCAGCCAACACGGTGATATATTGCCTTGAGGATCGTATAAAATAATGAACAATTTAGTTCTTAGTTTTAACGATCGTAGGTGATTTTTGTTTCTCGTCTCCTGTTGTCTCTTCATTTGCATACGTATATGTATTTTATTGAACGCGTCTGAATAATTCGAGGAGAGGATAATATCGGGCGAGCATCGAGTAGATGAGACACACACGGGATCGTTGTAAATAATGCAAACAATCACGCGATTCCTCGTCCCCGTGTTTTCCACGAGTAGTCGCAGTTAGCCTGGAGGCGCGAATCCATCGTCCAAGGACAAAGGGTATCGCAGGAACCACGCGGTAACAGTGTAAATCATAGTCTTCATACGCTCTCCCGTATCGTGTTTCTCCCTTTCTCACCCTCTCCTCGCGTAGTTAACATCCGCTGCATAAACTGACGCGGGAGTATCTCCGGAATATTTCTGTGAGATTTTTCTCGTCGAAAAAGATTCGAAGATTTGTCAAATATTCTCAACTTTGTCGATTGTAGATTTTACTTACTCCGTAGATATTACAGATATTGTTATACACTCTCGTCGTTAGATAGATCTAGAAATCTAGAGAAATCGAAAGATCGTCGTAAATTTGACGAATTTATTACAGTATGTAAATAATTTCTGTAAAATATTTCTCGCTCTAACCTTTCTGGCCACTTATATAGCTTCAGTCTCTTTTTCCAAGTTTCACGGCCCTCTCGTAATCTGAGATTCCGGAAAAGAGGATAAAAGAGAAATATAGAAGCGGGGGCATATCGACAGTCGTCGGCGTTTTTCGCATACCGCAGCGTTTACGATGCGCATAAGATGTATGCACAATCGGAAGTGAATAGATATTATTACGAGCTCGTGAGTGATATACGGTCACGCTGGGCCACTTCTCCTTTGTGCCGTCCCTTTTTTTCCCTCTGTTTATTGCGCTGCTATAACAGCTTCTGCCACACGATCCGCCGGAAATCAAGGCTCGAATCGCGCACGTGCGACACGTGAAACGGAACGAGAACGCCCGCTTGTTCGCAATAATATATAACCACTCTTATCGAAATTATCATCGAACGTTGCCTGTTAAATAAAAAACAAAAAAAAAAAAATCACTTTCCAACGTAACAGCGAGATAACGTCCATTGAATAAAATTTATTAATGACATATTCATTAAAAGTACGTTCTCGTCAAAGATCAGAAGGAAAGAAGAAACGAAGGAAGGTGATCGCAAAGATCTCGTAAATTTTGAAAGACGTACCGAGAGAAGTTTATTATTCATCGG